CAGTTTGTGGCTGCAATCCCTAAGTTTGTCCAGCAGGTGTCACTGCTGCCTCAACAGACAAACACCGCGGCGCTGTTCCTGTTTCCCATCATGCTTTGTGACCGAGCGGTCCTTCAGAACCAGAGGACGCCGGAAACTGAGATTACAGAGGATTTACTCAGTTACAGGTGAACTGTCTTTTTTTCTTTAATACCATAGTTTCCTCCTTCATTTGCACGTCGTTAATTATTAGTTTTAAATATTATCAGCCTTGTGTCATTCATGTGTCTTTAAATGTCCGCGACATCTATCGCGGACATCAACTGACAGGTTAACCGGATTAATATGAACTCGTTGTCATTTATTGTCATCGGCTGTAAACATGTATTAAAATGTACATTTCGTTTTAAACAAGCATTAATTTTATTTTTCACAAACGCAGCAAACTGATTACACACATTGTCTTGAGCTAATAACTGCTTCATATCAATTTGGAACATGGGTATCGTAGTGTGCTGAACTCCATTGGGAAAACTGCTGTTTTAAATTCTTTTTTGTGTTATCGCTAAATACACACCTCCGAGCCCGCAAATGAGCACCTCTTTCGAGTCACTATAGTCTTTTTAGAAATTCGGTGAACAAGACAGGTACTTGTGAAGCAGCAAGACGTGAAAAATGAGCAAATTATTCTATTAAAGTATTGGCTATTCAATGCCCTTCACAATGTAGGGATGTACTTAACCCCTCATGCAATTTATTCTGCAACGCTAAATTAAATTAAAGATATGTTGTGAACTATGAAAATAATCCCCCCCCCCCCGAAATGATTGAATAATCAGTTTGAGTCATTTTTAAGAAAAGAAAAAGTCGATTCTGTGATTGTAGGTTCTTAAATGTGAATATTGTCTGATTTATTTCTTCCTCCACGACAGTAAACTTAATTTGAAGTATATGGGTTGGATTTGTCATTTTGGACTTTGAAAAACACTGATCAATATATTTTTAACTGTTTTCTGACATTTTATAAAACACCTTATCGATTATTCTGGAAGATAATCAATAGATTAATCGTCATCAGTCAGAATCCTCTTTAGCTGTTGCCATCTTTCTGCTGCTGTCCGCAGTAACACAGTAAATAGTCCTGTACTACTTCAAATAAAATACACTTCTCAGAATGAATTTTATGACTGAGTAGGTTTTCACAAATGAGAAATTTGGCCTGATCTTCTGGTGCATAACAGTGAACACTATCTGGTAGAAGATTCTTAAAGAAGAATAGAAGATTTTAAAAAAATAAAATAAAAAAGTGTTGTAATATAGTCAATAAACATAAAGTGAAGCATTATTAAAAAAAAAAAAAAATCAAAACTGCAAATTATTCACCTGATAAAGTACAAGATTACACAGTGTGTAACCAACTTGAAATGTGCAAAGGATAATAATAATTCTGTTTAAAAGCTGTTTAATAATTTAAGGCATTAAGCGAATGTTTGTGTTGGGGGGAAATCTGAAAATGTTTGTAGCTTTGTTGTTTTCCATATGTTCAAATATCGATCCATATTGCTTTAGATCAAGAGCAAGCCTGTTAGTGCATGGCCAGGCTGTTTTGACCTGTATGAGAAATTGAATGATAAGCTGAAATATGTAGTTGATATTATTATCCAGCCCATTGAACTGAACACATAACATCGAATTAAATAATACAGGAGCTTTAGTTAAAAGCAACTGGATGTGTTTTCCACGTGTCTAATATGTTTGATTAAAGAGAGATAAAATGTCTTAAAGAACCTTTTTACTGAAGCTACACTAAATCTGTGCATTTACAACTCAGTTTTCTGTTTATTAAGAGTTGCGTACGTGTCTCTGTGCTGTTTATTTAGTGTGATCTCGGTGAAGAGTTGCTGCAGCGGAAAAATGTCTGACACAATCGAGGAGAAGCTCAAGAACTACAGGACGGCTCCATTTGATGCCCGTTTCCCCAACACCAACCAAACCCGCAACTGCTTCCAGAACTACCTGGGTAAACACGACAAACTGCTTCTCACACACAGACTGACGTGATGTCTTTATTCATGTGGTAATCTCATGTTTTGTTGTGTCAGACCGATACTCCGAAGTGTCCTCGAGTCCAACCTGAACTTTTAGCCAAAGCAGGTAAAGATGAACACCGGTTACGTCATTTTCTTGGCTCTAAAGCTTCGTCTGGGGTCTCTTCGTTTTCATCACATTTGGCTTCTTTGCGTTTGTGCTTATGAATGTGTGAGTGGAAGATACGCAGCTGTAAGGCTGAACTGAAACTTTTCCTCATCTGACATCGCAGCTTACTCACTCGCCTGCTTTTTCCCTCATCTTAACTCTCTTTTTCTTTTCTCACATAAGCTATTTGGTGCTGTTGTCATTTTAATTGAGCATTTCCAGTATTCGCCTGCAGGATTTGTTGAGCTGAAACTACAGCAAGACTCAGATACTTTATCTTCATCTGGAAATTCATTGATTTAATACTTTAAGAGTTTGTCTCCACCTATATGCTTATATTTTTTCTCAGCAGAGTAATCTTAATATAAAGAGTAATGTTGGTGGCTATGGAATTTGACAGATTTTGCTTGAACACTGACTTGCTGATGTTGAATTGGTTCAATTAACTCGGACTTGGTGTGTAAATCAAAACTGCTCCATGTCTGCATGAATTTCAAATGAAAGTCTAAAAAGGAAGACGTGTTTCCTGCTGTGTCAAATATCCATGTAAACTTTGATCTGCTGATCTACTGCACCAATTGTCAGTGCAGCCGCCAGCTGAAGATTCTGTTTCTGTCTCAGCCTTCCTTCCAAGTCCAGTTTTTAGCGTTTGTTCATATTTCATTTCTGTGTTTTCATCAGAACCATTCTTTTCACTGCTCTGTTCTGCAAAGCTCTTAGCATGGCTATCTAACATCATATTTCAGCGTCTTTGTTAAATGCAATAAGTAAAAGTAAGATCTTTCTGATGGTACGCTCTGATAGAGACGGACTAAGCTTAATTCCATAATAGCATGATTGCATGACTGCAACCTGAAGGATTCTGGTAACTGTCATTCAGAAATATTGATGAATTTGTTGTGTATTTTTGTAATTATTCTGTCATTTCTTATTTAAATTAACTCTCACAGTGACCATATTTAGGTCATAGTAACTCTTGTTTATTTTGCACTTTGAGGCTACGTCCACACTAATACATTTAAATTTACAAGCTATTTTAAAGCTTTTTAGCTTCATTTCATAAACAGTATTTGCACATACTAACACACTGGACCTGCAGTGTGAACGTGAAGCAGAACGTTGACTGCTTATTTGTAGAAAATATTACAGAAGAAGAACAGCAGTGGTGAAAAGTAACACCAGAGTTTTTGAGACATCAAGGTAAGCATCTGTAATGTATTATCCAGTGTTGAATTAACCAGTGATAGCCAATGTGATGTCTTTATTTTCTTCTGATAAACAGTCAGGTGATAAAAGAATCAGGAAATGATGAATACAAAATTGAACATGAGCATTTCCAAAACTCTCTGTTTCTGCCCACTGAGACAAAAATACATTCCCAAAGTGGAAACGGAGTTCAGTCGGCAGCATTTCCATTTCCAATGTAGCCAAAGTTGTGAGTTTTAAAATGAAAGTGTATTAGTGTGGATGCAGCCTGAGACTGTTGCAGGTTGAATAATTACTCTGATTGGCTGTGCTGCGTGTTTATTTTCCTCCTTCTGTGTGTTCTTGATAGACTTCCACAGATGTAGCAAAGCTCTGACAGCCAAAGGTCAGGACACGGCTCCCTGCGACTGGTACCGGAGGGTCTATAAGAGCCTCTGTCCCATCAGCTGGGTACGTACAGGAAATACAGGTTAATCAAAGGTCCACATCATGTCCAAACTGTATAATCAGTTTTGGTAATTTTCATAGTGATGGATTGCATCATTTAACCCTCTGAACTGCAAAACCCATTGGTGGATTTGAAAGGCATCTTATCTTTCAAAAAAAATGCCCAAGACACACCATGTATCAGCCAGAAAGTAAACTTTCCAAGGATACTTGAACTACACATCTGTGACATGCTGTTCAGTGAGGCAACTTAACCGAATCTAACCTTAAAACTCTGAGATTTTATTGAAATTACTTTAGATGTCTCACATGTAGGGCTGCAGGGTGGCACAGTTGGTTAGCACTGTTGTCTCGCAGCAAGATGGTTGCCGGTTTGCGTCCAAGTGGGGGAATCTTTCTGCGTGGAGTTTGCATGTTCTCCCCGTGCAGCGTGGGTTCTCTCCGAGTTCTCCGGCTTTCTCCCACAAGGTCCAAAAACATGTTGAGGTTAATTGGTGATTGTAAATTGTCCGTAGTTGTGAATGTCGTCTGTTTCTAAGTGTAGCCCTGTGATAGACTGGTGACCTGTCCAGGGTGTCCCCTGCCTTCGCCCTAAGTCAGCTGGGATAGACTCCAGCCCCCCCGCGACCCTAGTGAGGATTAAGTGGTGTATAGATAATGGATGGATGTCTCACATTCTCACATGTTTCTATAATAAAAACAGGTTCTTAGGGGGGCACATACAAATTCAGCACAACTGAGAAGTCGTTACTGACTCAGCTGTGACCAACAGTCACGTGACAAAAATTAGGAGTTTTCAACTGAACTGTAGGCTGTATTTACACAGAACAGATGGGAGACAACTATGGAAGCAAATTAAACATGAAAATACTGAAGTATCTGGAGTATGTACATTGACTTTCCAGTATTGGTAACACCTGTGGGCACCTGAAAAAATGCTGAATCCAGGTTTTTTCAGTTTTTGTAAAACAAGCAATCCTGAAAATTAACTTTCGGGTTGTTGTTTTTTTTTTGGTATGATTTAGTGCCTTAAAGCTGTGTCATATTGCACAGATTACACATTTCTGAGTTCTCTCTATTTATAGTCATGGTTGTGCTGCTTTCATAGAGCAGGACTTTATATTGCAGTAAAAAATTAGCTAAAAAAAGCTCACAAACTGGAGTTCAGAGGGTTAACTTGGGCCTTAATCAACCATAACAACACAAATGTCTCCAGAGGGGTGTATTATGAAGCAAGTTTGACATAGTCAGGCTTTCTTTGTGTAAGCCGAATCGACTAAACCAAAAGCCCCAACCAGAGATTACGGGTATCATGAAGGTGGTTATAAACTTTCTTTGTCAACTTCAGACTCTGTGCTCGTTCACATAAAAAGGGGCGTTTAATGCATCACGTGACTCTTCTTCTGCACAAAATGAACCGATCGTGTGCAGCTGCTTCAGTCAACACGTTGCTTTAACAGAGAACAATGAGGAATATATATATTTAAAAATGTGATGGTAAAAAGCACCGCTACTGCAAATGGTGCAAGACGGGAATGCTGGTAGAAAACTGTTAAACGTGTTCATATATAATATTTTACTGCTTTATTTCCAACTGACAGCTGCACATTAAGTTAAACTTTAAACTTCATACATTTAAACATGATCTTGTATTGAGGTACATTTAGGTCTGACTCTGTCCCATATTGCAGGTTATTACTTTAATTTTTGGCCCAATCAGAGTGAAATTAATGTTATTGATTGAATGTTCTCTGTAATAATTACCAGTAGAATAATCCATTTTCTCATCTGTGTTCTATCAGCAGCAGTACCAGTAGTTTAAATGGACTTGACAGCAGATCAGAGCCAAACATATAAACATATTTATGTGCTTTCTGCATTGCCAACTTAAACATGACATTTACAGTAGGGCTGGACCCGAACATCCAAATATCCAAATAATCGGTCGTTTTGGTGGTATATGATATATATTTGCCCGCAACCCGCCACCAGTGCCCACCCCACTGCCGCCGATGGTGGCAACAGAACTGTGACCGCCAACCTACACTGGCATCAGCAGCCAAGTACTGCCTGTGCAGAGCGCTCCGTCTCCGTCTCCACCGACAGTGTGAGATATTGTAACTACACGGCTTCATTCAGTGATATCAGTAATGCACAATTCAGCATGTTTACAGAAATAAAACATTTCCTCAGCTGAGAATCTGCATCGCTCATAAATAATAGTCAGGAAACGATGTGGTTAAAGGGAGACGCTCTTTCCAGCTGATTTAAATCTGAAACTCTGAACATAACCTGCTCCCGACCAGGTTCGCTCCACAGCATAAGTTACCATGAAGACCTAGCCAGGTAAAAAGAGAGCTACCTTCATGATACTGAAAACTCTGGCTTTAAGCTCAACATACCTCGCTAACCCACTAATCTTGCTTTGTAATACAGCCTTCTTGTCTCAAAGCACAATAACATTTGCTGCGTTTTTCCACTTCAGCTGCACATTTGAAACTGTTGAAATCAGTTACATTATTTAATGTATTAAACAAATTTAACAACAAAAAAAAATCTTGATTATCATTGAATCTTTCCCTGTTTCTCTACTTTCTCGTGCAGGTCCAGAAATGGAACGACCAGTTGGAGGCAGGAAATTTTGCCGGGAAGATTTGAATCTACATATCTCACCATTTCTTTCCTCATCTTACTCTTAATGTGAAACACTCCAATATTTATGCAACAGAAGCAACTAAATAAATTATCTAATGTTACTGTGATCCATGCTGTACCTGTCCTGATTTAGTTCTTACTTATTTTATCTGTTTTATCTTTTATAATGACTTGAGTAATTATTCTTATTATGAGTTCTTGATTTCAGGGTGGCTGTAGCTCAGGTGGTCGAGTGGATTGTCTGCTAATAGCAGGACCGGTGGGTTGGTCTATGTTCCCATCCTGTCGAAATGTAAAGTCCTCGGGCAAAAAACTGAACCTCCAGGTTGATGCCATGGTAGCTGCGCTTTGGGAATGTTTGTGTGGATGTGTGAATGAAAAACACATTGTAAAGCGCTATCACAGTGTACGCCATTGAAAATGATCCTGAACAGCAGCCACGAACAAACGTACATAAAGAGAATGAACCAAATCGATTTGTTGCCCACAGTCTACATGGTCCATATATTGTAAGATATATTAAATATTAATCTGTTATTCTAATCAGAAAGGGGTTAAAGCCAGCTTTATTCACACTGGCAGCCAGACAAGACATAATGCAGCTCTTGATGGTATATAATGAATACATATAGAAATGTATTATTGAATTTTTCTCTATTCACTTTAAAATAGGGGAGTAAAGATCTGTTGCTCCAACACACAGCATCTCTACAACAGAATGGACACAATAGAGTGAAACTTTAGGAAAAATGTTACCATGAAAAGTCGTCTGTTTAATTTATTCAGCAAAAAAAAATAGATAACACATGGAGGAGAACTCTAGAGAGAAGGAATCCTCCTTCCTAGACAGATAGGCATGACACGCTGTACACTGTATAAAGAATAAAATAACAATCTCACAAAAAAAAGAGTAGTTTTCCAAAATAAAATGCATTTTCTAGCTTTAGTTTTACATGAATACTTTGTACTTTTCAGTTTTAAATATAGTTAACATTAAAAACAATGAAATTAGATTTATAGTCTATATCATTACATAAGATTGATATAATTTTAATGATATATATACAACAATAACCTATTGACAGATTACCATCCTTATTGATATACATTGATGAAAACACATTCAACATTCAAACTTCTGTAACTGTACAAGATATCTTTCATTTAAGAAATACATTTTACAGAACCAACACATCCTCTTCTGTTCATTTTATGGGCAGAAATTTTAATTTGAATGGTGATTTTAAGAACTGAATTTGAACTGTGACAATTCAACTGAATGCAGAGAGTTGAATTTTCAGTGAGCAACAAAAGCAGCTTCAAAGCGACTGAATTCAATTTCAAAATATTACGCTAGGTTTTCAGCGCAGTTGATTAGCACTGTTGCCTCACAGCAAGAAGGTCGCTGGTTCGCATCCCGGTGGGGGCACCCGGGATCTTTCTGCGTGGAGTTTGCATGTTCTCCCCGTGCAGCGTGGGTTCTCTCTGGGTTCTCCGGCTTCCTCCCACACAGTCCAAAAACATGTTGAGGTTAATTGGTGATTCTAAATTGTCCGTAGGTGTGAATGTGAGTGTGCTTGGTTGTCTGTCTCTAAGTGTGGCCCTGCGATAGACTGGCGACCTGTCCAGGGTGTCCCCTGCCTTCGCCCTAAGTCGGCTGGGATAGGCTCCAGCCCCCCTGCAACCCAAATGAGGATTAAGCGGTGTATAGATAATGGATGGATGGATGGATGGACGTTAGGTTTTAAGCTTATTGCAATTTGGTTTAAATGGAATACATTGTAATTCAATTGATGACAAACCAGTTCAAAGTGTTTTTGTAAAATTATTCAAGTTGAGCAATTCAGATTCAGTTATAAATTATTTAAATTCCGTTTCTTGTGGCACAAATTTCTGAATATGTAATTGTTTCTAACTTATCCTATTTGAGAAATTCAACTGTTTTTATCTATTTGAAAATTTGTGCAATGGAATTTTAACCTTACATGGTTTGATGTCATTTTACTTCACATGTAAATTAACTTTGTTCTTTTTGTGTGGCAATTGAATCTTTGGTGCAAATGAGTATATGTCAGAAGAAAACAGAAACAAAAAGAGGTGCAATTAGCTCAAGAGGGACCATGTAAGATACAAAGCATAGGAGCGGAATTTGAGAAAACCATCTCAGCACAGAGTTCATGAAGTTGCTGTGGTTGCCTCTGGGCACTTCAAGGACATGTTGACTGCAAATCCTGAAATGACGCCTTTATTTATGACCTCAGAAATGGAAGAAAACAATCTCCATTAGGCCTCTGGCTGTTTCTGGAGCTTTCAGTCACTGGACATAGTGCTGCAGTGAGGCAGCAGTTTGAGTCACACTGCAGAGTTTTTCACTGAGGTGGATTAGAAACACGTTAAAATCTTTGCATCATCCTTTTACCCAAACCTGCCTGACGTAGAATCATCTGACTTTTTTTTTTTTTTTTCTGTGTTTGTCACGAGGAAATCATCAGACTGAGAGAACTGCAGTGTGTGCATTCATTAGAAACGTGATCTACTTTCAAACTGTGTGCAGTCATCTCTGGAGCATCCTCCGTTGCCCCAGTAACGGGCCGCGTTGCATCAGCATCCGCAGCATCAGTCACCCGGCGGCTTCTGTCAAGGTCGCCATCGAGAGGCATCATGGGAAGGCGAGGAGGAACTGAGGGCGCGAGGGGTGTTCACGATCCACCCATCCACCCCTCCGTCTGCGCATGCGTTCACTGTTAAGTCAACCGAGCTGACCAAGTAACCGAATAAAGGATGCGACCATAATAGGACACAGACGCCGCCTTTGCCTCACGGGACGCGATGATGCGGCGATGATGCACGACGGTCATGGGTTTGTGCGCGTAGAAACCGGAGGGGCGGAGTCACGTCACGGCATCCCAGCGTCCCCCGGCTTTCATTGGTGGAGGAAGAAATAAAAAATAAAAACAAGTGCGTGCGGGTACGTGCGGTTCTCCTCGCTGCTCCCGGATGATTCTATAAGAAAAGGAGGGAGGCTCTCCTGCGAAAAAAAAAAAATCCCCGACCTCTGCAGGAAGGTTTTCTTTGTGCGCCCTCCGAAGTCACGACAGGTGAGTGTCCGTTAATGTGCGCAGATTTGTGCATCATTTTGGAAAAAAAAACACCTCCCTCCTCCAGTTTGACCGACAGCAGCCTCCAGAGGTGAACGTTTTGGTGATTTCATCTACTTCTTAGCTTCAAATGTGCGCTGTGAAACGCGTGACATTGGGTGCGGGCGTCTGGTTCGGTGATGGGAGCGCAGGGGACGCGGTCGTGTCCTGCCCGCTGAGCCGGCTCGGTACCACGGACAGCGCCTAACGAGGTGTGTTCCTTTTCCCGCAGCTTTCGGCGCCGGCGGGCGGGTCCTGCGAAGCTTTAACCATCACCTGAAGCTGCCAGATCGTCTCCTCTCACCAAACTAGACTGCAGAACATGGAGGGACAAGTGAGTGGTTTTTATTTATTTACTATTTCCGTTGTGACCTACATCCATTTTTTTTTTTTTGAATGAAATCCATTAAAACAGCTGAATGACGGTTGCAACAAGTTGTGCAGCTTGATGTGTGAGGAGTGTTTCCATCTAAAGTCTGTGTCTGAGCTGAGCTGTGTGGGCGGTTTAGTCCTGTATGCATACCATAATATCTCTGTGAGTCACACATGAGCAGGGCAGATGTGTGTTGTGGAACATGATGTGTATTTCTGAGGGTTTGCAGCGAACATGCAGCCATTTCTGATGCTGTGTGGGTCTGTGCTCAGTCGTAATGAATGACTAACTGTGTGAGCGAGGAAATGAACATGTTGCATCTGTGTGACTTTGGTTTATATATTTATGAAGATATTTTCACAATAAGGGACAGAAACAGACTGTGAGTGTTCAATTTGGGGGGTATTTTTGTTTTTATATTTCTTTTAGGCAATGGTGTGAGTTCAAAAAAAAAAAAGAAACACTGGCATTCAATCTATTTCTTCTCACCAAATACATGAAATTTCATCCCATGTAGGTGTTTGCAAACTAGGAAGTATTCACAAGTGTTTGTCGGTACAGTTTCTAGCTTTTGCAGCTGTGGTTTAAAATAAAAAAGCCATAAGGTGCCTTTTGAAACACACTTGTCTTTTCACTCATTGTGCATGTCCCTCTGCACGTATACGTATTGATGCAATGTCTTCACACTCATCCTGAGGGATCAGTGCAGAGGACCTCTGGGAAATGAAGGAAATCATTAACCAGAGTAGAAAAAGAAATGAAGCAGGTGCAACAAATGTGGCTCCAGCAGGCAGGAAAGTAAACTGTGGAGTGTTTTGTTTGTTTGTTGTTTTGTTTTTACAAAATACATGCAGCACCTGAAATACATTAATACAGAGTAACACCATACATCACCAGAGAAGAAATCAGTAACTACATGTAGACAATCCCAAGAAAAATATGTGGAAAATGCTAAAGACTTTTCAAAGTTTAAGCTATACTTTTGTCCAAGCTTGACACAAAGAAATAAAGAAAAACTGTTAATTGCTACAAATAATGCAAAATAGACACATTTTTATAGTTTTAGCTGAACTTCCAGCCTTGTTTGATTTAACAATTTGGGGGTAAAATTGTTGAACATATCCTACATGTTGTCTGAATTCAGTTGGTTATTTCTACAAGAAAATAAAAGCAAGACAAGTTTGTTGCTAAAGGCGACACATAGTGAAAACTCATTGTTAAATAAGATCAACACTGTGCCCTTTGACCCCAGACGGTCTCAGTATGTTGTCACACATTTAGCAACTAATCTAATTATACACTTACGTGTAGTTGTGTGTCCCTGCACAGCCCTAGCATCCTCCTTCTGCTCCATTGTGCTCTGATTTCTAACAGCAGATATTGACCTGCTTGTCAATATACAACCCCAAAGCTGTGAGACCCTCACGCACAGGAAAACAAGCCATAATGTTATTGAAGTCACTCCTGAAAGCAGTTCGATGCATTTACCCTTTTCCTGCTTTCACTCAAAAGTTGAGTTGATTGACTCTTCCAGGGAAAAAACGGTGTCAACTGGCTCGGCGCAGATGTAGGTCAGTGTGTGTCGACGATCAGCCACAACATTAAAAAAATCGCCTGTCTGGTGTCGTGTCGGTCTCCCTCCTGCCATCAGGGAGTTTAAGTGGGCAGCAAAGAAATGTCCACATGTAGGCAGGAGCTGAGATTTCCCAGCAGAACACTGTAGTAAGACGATCAGTGTAGTTTACTGTTGGTGGTTTTAATGTTGTGGCGATTGCTGCAGTGTAATCATCAGAAGTGTTAGTTCAGTTTATGAGGCTCTGTGGTTACTTTCAGCCTGTGTCAATAAAACTGTCACCTCCAGGCCGTCGCCATGGAGATAAGGGAAGGAGAGGGAGGGGGGCGAGGCGGGGACATGGACACTCTTGGATGAATGGAAAGATGGAGGCTCAAGACAAACAAATGCAGACATTTTGTTTGAAACGAGGCAACGAACACTTTAGTGAGAGTTAAATACGACGTCCTACAGTAGTTTAAATTATGTGTCGGTGAGGGACTGTTGTGACTGTCTCCATTTGTGGAAAGAAAAAAAAATCAGCTTTGTTTTGTTAAATCTGCAATCGCGCGATGAATCAGGATGGATTTGTGCATTGTAGGACAATGTGATCAGATGCTGCCCTCAGGACACCGGTTGCCATAGTAACACGGCATCTGTTCAGCAAATATGTGTGCTGCAACAGGCTGCTACCAACGCAGGAGTTTCTTATCCAGACTGTTTTCACTAGACTAATTATGATATTTTCCTCATGAAACGCTGTCACCAGTTTTTCCAAGATTTGTACAAACAAAATTGCAGAAATGAGCACAAAATACTCAAAATCCAGTCAAATTGAGCTGAATCGTTCGACAGTGTTCACATTTGAAAAGACAGTATCAAACATGCGTAAGATTAAGATTTCAGCGATTAGAACAAAGGATCTGTCATTGAACTAAAGTACAGTATTTACATTTTTTTGATCATAAATGTCAAAATGTTGCCAAAAAGCAGCTGTCCTGATATCTGACCTTTGTATTGATCCCCATCTGAGACAGTTTGGGTTTTGTCATGTGACCTACAATTTCTCCTGAGTCACCGTGACTTGACAAAAAAAAAAGTGAGACGGACACAGGCGATGAGGGAGACAGAGAGAAAGAGGAAGGTGAACTTTGTGGTAAATATAGCAAGAGGTGTGTGTGCTTTGTGGGACTGTTGAGAGTTGTTTGCAGTGTTGTGAGACACCACACCGCGTTTAATCTGGCTCTTATGTGCGACTCGAGGCTCTTTTCTCTTTGCCTCTGTCTGTTAATTAACTTACGTGATGCTGATTATTTCAGACAGATGAGGATGCAGTTTCTCTCCGTTCAAAACGTTCTATTCCCAAACGCTTTGCACATAGAAAATCATTTCAGGTTTTCAAAATAGTAGCTTTATTGCAACTCAGTGTTGTACAACTTCAGTTATGAACCTTTCTCACCTTAATGTCAGCTAGGAATCCAACCTTTCAGTTCAAGGTCCAGTTTGTTGAATTCACAGATAAAATATATCGAGTTCTGCTCAGTTTGTGAATGCAGTTATTAGATAATGATTTCTCATTTTTAAAAATCTCAGATAGGTCAGCCTTTACTGCATCAGTTTTGTTGATTTGTCACTGACAACTTCCAAATCTTGTAGAGGTGCAATACTGAACTGCTACAGTGGAAACTAAACAGCAGCCTGTTTTTTTGTTTGTTTGATTTGTTGTTGTTGTTTTTTGTCTGTTTGTTTTTTTGTTTTTGTTTTTTGTAAGGGAAAATACTGAAGAATATCTGTATATTCCACAGCCCTTGATACTTCCTTCTGCAATTCACAGTTGCATGAGCTGCATATTAACCCCTTTCGTGAGTTTTATGATAATGTCCCTCTGTATTTGACCATTAAAAAATAAAATCTAAGTGTTGATAGTCACTTGAAATATGGCATGGTGGTGGTATTATCATAAGCTTAGACGCTATTGTGGCAACACTGACAATATTGTCTATAGGTTTATTGTATTCTCATGTAAGCACAGAACATCAGCACTTCAACCATATTTCTTTTTTATATAAATAAAATGCAATCAAATTTGTATTATAAAGATATTTATAGATATATAAATCCCAATTGAGACTTCTTTAGAGGAAATAAAGAGAAAAACATCCACCTCTGCTGCATAATTCCACACAAATAACATGTAGATGATCTAACACATGCAGAGTCATCACATGTCTGCAGATGTTAAAAATGTTATTGTAAATATTGTGTAAAAGATAATGAATTATCTAGCAGGTGTCCACAGCAAGGACAATCAAATCCCTGTCCATTTAAAGAGATGCGTGGCTTTCACATCACTCTGAAATGTCACCGAAATCCTCAGGGAACTTATGCAAATGAAGGAGGAAAACTGTTAAAAGGCAAAGGGCAAATGTCATTAACCTCTAGAGCCAAGAAAGGAATGCAAACATATTGGCTTAAAAAGGCTTTATTGAACAAAAACTGAATCACAAAGACCTGGGAGAAATATTTGTCCAAAGCAAACATAGTGGAGATTGGTGGGTTTGACCAGCTGCGGGACTGGATGGACTTTATTTTTGATCGTGACGGTTGGGAAACTGCCTCATGAAATTTTTGTGAGCATGAAATATTCAGTGTGCGGGTCACCTCTAATTTTCCCCGATTGCTCTTCACTTCATTTCAGGTATACAGTATGATTAAGTAGAAACTGTGCCTAAATTCCATATACATTCTTTGTAAATTCACAAATTTGTAGATTCCTAATAAATTTGCAAAAAAAAAATCCAGAAACATGTTTTCCTTTGCCTTTGTGGGTTATTGACTGGTCATTTTACAAATTTAAGAACAAATTTACACCATAATAAAGTTTCTAAATGCTTACTCAGTCATGTCATGTTACTACTGTACATGCATTCCAAGTACTTAACACTGAAGCACACATACATACACTAAGCACTAAATGCACTGTAGATACTATAGCACAGGTTTTTGATTGTAGTTGTGATACAAACTAATACTGAAGAGCAAAAGTATTTCAGGGAGAACTGAAGACATAAAACATAGCTGCTCAAAAGAAGGAAAAATGAATAGGTTAACTGTAAGTATCATTTCCTCTTAAAACATATCTTTGCTATTAAACTGAGTTCAAAGATTAAACTGATTTTTCAAAATGTTTTGCGTATAAAATGATAAATGCAACCAAATTTGCTGCTGTTATAAGCAAAAAAAAAAACTGCTTTCGACTGACTGGTATGCTTCTTTTATGCCATTTTAAAATATATATATATAAATACCATAAAAACATGCATTAGCAGCAGAGTTGGTGTACTACTCAGGTGAAATAAAATAATTTTCCCTGAGGCCTTTGTCCAGCTTGTGTTTTATCATCTTAAAATCCTGTATTCTGCTTTTTGATTCCTCCTTTTTTTTCCAGTGTGTTATGTAGCTTTTTTTATGCACGTGAAAGATCTGCAAATTTACAAGTCCACACCAATGACAGTTATTCCCTACTACAGAAAAAATGCTTTAGTAGGCCCACGAACAAAATGATGCACCTGTATATGTGCAGAATACGGGCTCTTTAAATAGAAATGTGTCACAGAAAAAGCACCATTAAAGCATAATATTAGCAGATTTGAGAAAGCCACTAAAGTGAGGCCTGTGTTCAAAGGTTCTAAGACTTATATCTACCTCTGTTTTGTGCTTACATGGTGAATAAATGAATCTCTCTTTAGTCACACTAATATTGCACCTCAGACAGAGGGTGTGAGGAGCAGGGGGTCAATAGAGGCAAAGGTTAATCCATCCATAATGGCCATGAGCTGTAACCCCCTTGCTCTCCAATGATTCCCTGCCAAACGAGAGGTGAAGAACGCTGCTGTTTTTTTCATACACCAGCGTTATCACTTACTTCAGAGGCATCACGGTTCATCTTGTGGCTCATTAGTTCAGTGTCAAAAAAAATCAAATGAAAAGAAACGTGCTGTAAGATTATTTTGCACGCAGTCACTACAACACAGCTGATCGTCCTCACTGAGTTGTGCTACCACTGCTCAATCTGCTTCACACGTGAAAGAAATACCCCGAGCAGCTTCCAATCATCCTGCTGCACAATTTGACCTTTAAATCACTTCCTCTACCTGCTTCTAACTCTTCCTCTGATTGGTCCTCTTTTGGCCGACGCCCCCCCTGACTAAAATGAGAAATGCGGTGTACGCTAATATTTCCTGACCTCGCTGTGATATTGTTGTGCCAAGGGCAGTGGATCACCTGAGGCCGGGATACGTCTCCATACTGTCTCATATAACAGCAGTTGGTTCTGCCCCGTCAGCACCGAGTCTCTTTATTCCTGACTGTGTGACTGAATTACCAACATCAGCACAAACAAAGACACAGTGGCCTAATTTCTGCTACTGTGACCCAGCTTGACCCGAATCTCGTGTGTGGGATCGATTATTCAAAGTTCAACAGAGGTATAGAGATGTTTGATAAAGTTGACCTTTATTGACCTCTGCCTATAGAAACTATTCTTTTGAGTTTTCTTCCTTCTATTGCTTTTCCTCATTGAATAATGGTCAATATAATTTGACTTTTTTTGACAAGAATTCCAACAAAAAGATTCATTTATGCAATGTAATTTTTAAAAAATAAAATATATAATGTAAAACAAGTGATTTAATCAACACACCTTTGGCCACAACTACAGCACTGACCCTCTGTGAATAGGTTTCAATCAGCCTTGCACATCTGGACACTGCAAATATATACAATTCGTCTTTGCCATTCTGCTCAAGTTGTATAGGGATTGTGAGTCAACAGCCCTTTTCAAGTCCAGACACAAATTCTCAGTTGGTCTGACTCAACAACTCCAGAACATTCACCTTGTTTAAGTAATTATTGTGTAGCTTTGGCTGAAAACTTTGGCTCATTGTCTTGCTGGAAAACAAATCTTCTCCCAAGTCGCAGTTTTCCTGCAGACTGTATCAGGTTGTCCTCCAGTGTTTTCCAGTACTTTGCTGCATCCGTTTTACCCTCTCCATTTACGAGCCTTTCAGGGTTTACTGCCAGGAAACATTCCCACATTATGATGATGCCACCACCGTGCTTTACAGATACGGGTGCTGTGTTTGCAGCGATGTGGAGTGTTTGCTGCATCTAGTCTGATCACCAAAAAGCTCAGTTTTGGCGTCATCAGACTAGGTTACCAAAACAGCCTTTTGACCCTGCTAATCTAAAAATGAGCAAAGAATTGGCCACACCTTTAACTATGCAAAACCTGATGGAGGCCAAGGTGGTAAAATCATGTATCAGGACATCAATAGTGATTAGAATAAAAACAAATAAAAGCTTCATTCAAGTCTACCCACAAGTATAACTTTCAACAATATCTCCACGTCTTCCTCAGTAGAGTGTGTGTGTTTTTTGTTTTGTTTTTCAGTTGATCAGCAGATTTGAAAAAAAAGATTGAAATTCGAGAAGAAGGAGCCTGCTCCGATCAACAATCAACAAATGTTTCGATTAATGTTTAAGTTATGAAAGCACAATTCGACGTTTTTTTCCTACGAACATGAATGAGGATGGACGAGGGTCAGACGTTCTATAATCTGATTGTAATGACAGCAGCTCCACTATCGCACACCCTGATTTCATTAAAGAGATAAATTGTTGGCATCATGGGGCCCAGCTCTGCTGCAGGAGCAGGAAGACGGCTTTGCAATTGGCTGATTATCAACATTAAAGATGTTGCTCCGCACAGATACGACTCTGATATTGTAGACACATATAGTACATTTGCAAACATTTTGTATCCCTCTGTCTTCATTGTTGTATGTTTCATTTTCGACTTAGTTTTGTACTTGACTTTAGAAATAACAACAAAAATAGAACAGAGAGCTCTAAGAGTAGCAGGTGGAGTAAATGGAGTACAAATATGATGAGTAATGTCGTGTGTGGGTGAACACGAGTTCAGTGTTTGATGTCTGCTGTTATTGTTCATGTGTTTGCGTGTCCCTGAGCTGTCTGGTGTCAGCGTCGCAGTTTTATCACATCTGTTCGTCTGCTGTACTGATTTTAGATCCCATTATGATCTCCAGTTTCATATTTGTGATGCTTTTCTCTCTTCTTCTCTTGCCTCCACCCTACCTTACCTCCACACACTCATCTCCATTTGCTCTTTGCTTTCTCCACTCTTCCTCCTGTACTTTCCTTTCTCTCTCCCTCCAGGAAAAGCAGGTAACAGGTTACCTCCTGTTCTCTCTGTCCACCGCCGTCATCGGCTCTCTGCAGTTCGGTTACAACACGGGAGTCATCAATGCTCCAGAGCAGGTTGGTTCACGTTAGTTTGTTCTGTATGTGGGGTCGAGATGTAGAGTCTTTGCACAAAGGCTGCAACAATTAATCAATTACACATCTATGTAATGATATATTAACATTCAATGAATCGAGTAATTCTCTGATTGCTTCTTAAATGTGAATATTTTCTGTTTTCTTTCCTCTTCTATGATAGAAAACTGAAAGTGTGGATTTTTAAAAAAATATATTGAACAGAATGTAGTGCTAATAATAACTATTGGGGCACATTTTAAAAAAAATAAACCATTTAGAATAAAGTGATTTTGGTAAAATGTCACAATGTTAAGCTTCGGTTTGGCTACGTTTTCCAACAGAGCAGCGTCAGGGAGTTGAGAGTCTGATAATTCTTCCTGTTTTCACAGTTTATGGCTGAGAAATGGTGTCATTTTTAAAGAAACATGCCTTTCAAAGCTGTCAGTGGATTTTGGGTTCCAGAAGTTTAATCCAGAAACTAATTGACCCATCAGTCAAATAGTCACTAGTTGCAGCCCTGCTTCGCTTCGTAGCATCTTCAAATGGTAACAACAAATGACTGTAAAGGTAAAAACCTGCTAATCCTGTGATGTGGCACCACAGGTATCTGACCTTTAACAGCCTTGTCGGGTTGTTATGACATTAAAACAAACCAAAAGCTAACAGATGAACGGTGGGAACTCAGCAAAGTGCTCGCTTTATGGCTGTTTTGGAGTTTACAGTTTTGCTCTTATTGCTTGATCCCTAAATGCCTGTTTATAGAGAAGCAACTATACTTCACACTATAATTTAATCGGACTTATCTCTTGTGACTCAGACAGGAGAACCAGCTGTAGTGCAGGACTTTTTTTAGATTTATAATAGAATGATAATAGATATTGTAGATTTAAATAGATAAAAATCTTCAATGTGTTCAGATTTAAACTGGATTATTTTAGTATAAATCCAGGTGTGAATCATGTGAAGCTTTTCAGATTTTCTTATTTTAAATTAGTCGAGAAATAAAAGCCACAACCTGTTTGTTTTGTGCTGCAATAAAGTGATAGACATAAAAATGCAAACACCAGTTGGAAACAGAGCTGGATACAGTATGCTGAGTGTATATTTTGGTATCATATCTGTCCAGTAAGTGTGATTTAGCCAAACTTTGCAATAAGGACCTGAAGCAGTTGGGAACAGCTAGTTTCTTTAAGCTCTTTAATGCCAGTCTGTGTCTCATATGTTTAGTTTGTGCACTTAAAGCTACATATTTGTGGTTATGGGGTGAGTCAAATGTGAATGTTTAGTCCGACTAGCTGTTTCCTCTTACTTTGAGTGTTTATATTAAGGTAGAAACATCCTTTTCTGGTTCTATCACTACATTAAATTTACCCAATGAGAGTGCTATCTATCTTCTTCTCTAACTCCCAGAAAGAAATATAAGGGTATTTTCCAAAGCAATTCCTTTTAAAGTTCTGGGCAACACTCCAATACTCATCATTTTCTTCCCTGTCCTCCATCTCAGAAACTGCGATCCTTCTTCAATGACACCTGGATGGAGCGTTATGGTGTGCCCATCAGTTCAGGGGTCCAGACCATTGTCTGGAGTGTTGCTGTTGCCATCTTTAGTGTGGGCGGCATGGTGGGCTCCTTCAGTGTTGGTGTCATGGCCAACCGATTTGGCAGGTAGGAAGTGAGATTCACTGATTGTACAATAAAACCTGAAACATTTGTTTTTTTCTCACGATCGTCATCTTTAAATAGAAGCTTTTTGTTTCAATCGTAGTGTCTATACAATGGGTATATTAGGTTGTTTTTTTTTTTTGGATGCATTGAGAATCACAACAGGATTTCTTTAACTTGAGTGTTTTTTTTTTTCCTTTAACCCTTTGAACCACGAGCAGTTTCTGGATGTTTTTTTTTTTTTTAGCTCCTGTCACATTTTTGCTTACTGTTGGACTATTTTTCACTGCAATAAAAAGTCCTGCACCTCTATGGAAACAGTACCACCATGACTAGATGTAGAGAGAACTTAAAAATGTCTTCTGTGCCGTGTGACACACTTACAGTGCCATAAATCTTTTTTTTTTTTTTTTAAGAAAACCTAAAGACTTTTTAAAATTATTTATTTGACAAATATTGAAAAAAGCCTGAAATCAACAGGTGCTACATTTTTCCAGCTAGCCACAGGTGCAACCAATAACAATAATAAAAAAAAATGTGGCTGTACATACTGTAGATATTTTAGTACTTGTACTTTAAATTGTTTTCATATTTTTTCCCTCTAATCACAGCCTGCAGCTCATCCTAAATTAATTTTTGTAACCTGACTGTTGTTCACAACTGAGACAGTCACGGTATCACAGCTTTGCCAAGAACTTAAGATTTTTTTTTTTTTTTTTAATTTTACAGAAGCTGCTTAGAGCAAATTGTATATTTTTTGGCAGTTCTTTTAAACCAGACATGTAGAATAGGGTGATTTTGATGAAAAATTATTATTTTAAGATTTAAGGTTTCCCAACACAACTGCAGCATGGATCCTTTTTAAGTTTTTCAATAGTTTTTGGCCTATAAATGGTGACGTTTTGGTGAAGACATCACTTTCAATCCCGTCGGCAGGTTGTTGGGGTTCGGAGGGTTAACGGCTCTGTGTATTTCCTGTGTGACTCAGCTGAGACATCACAAGCCATTACTGTTAATGGACTTTATGAAACATGTCTGTCTGGAAGTCTGCTCTAATGTTCCCCAGAGTTGTTCTTTCATTTCTCTGTTTTCCTCTTAGTTTCAACCTCCTCATCAAAACACAATCAGGAGCTCACAGTGGAAATCTGTTTGGCTTTTATTGGGCTTTACTTAGATTTTAAGATTTTAACAGATTAGCCAATTAGCTTGAGAGTGGCAGCAGGATGAAAAGTCTGTTCTGGCTCAAGCATTAAACTGCTGTATTTTAAGACACTTAGTTTAGTTTCACTGGATGGCCCATATTTCCTGACTCCTGTCAGCTTGCATGGTGGGACGTCCTGTATTATTATTTTTCTTCAGAACTAGTTTCTGGCTCCAGCATGTACAGCTGAATTATACCAGTGTTACAACATTCAAGAGTAGGTTTAGAGTGTTGGAGCAGACTTGAAGGTGAGCTGCTGTGCTCGAGATGCAGTGAATGAGAAGGCATGGGTGGACAACGAGCCAAGGACTCATTTTTTATATTGATAGATCTGCACATTCCTGGAGGAAGTAACAGTGCAGATGTACAGCTAAGCCATTTCAAGACAGTAAGGGATTATTTTTATGAGAAATGTGTATTTTTTATGACTTTTAGAAGTAATAATTTTACACAAATCAGTCTATTTTGTTCTCTCTTTCAAAAAGAAACAACACCGAAGCTAATCACTGCTCTACTGAATAACATATATTAATACTGAAACTAGTATGTTTGGAAATAACCGTTCACAGTTGATGCTCTCGTTCCTTTCCCTCCTCCTTCCAGGCGTCGCTCCATGTTCCTGGTGAACTCTCTGGCAGTGATCGGTGGCCTCCTCATGGGCTTCTCCACCATCTGCTCCTCCTATGAGATGGTGATCGCCGGTCGCCTGGTCATCGGCTTGTTCTGTGGTCTGTTCACCGGCCTGACTCCCATGTATGTGGGCGAGGTGTCGCCGACGCCACTCCGTGGAGCTTTCGGCACTCTGCACCAGCTCGGCGTGGTAGTGGGCATCCTGATCGCTCAGGTCAGTGGCTTTACTAAAGAATTTCCCTCTGGAAATGTGACGTTCAGAAATTATTAGCTCAGCAACGACAACAACTAACTGAATTTCTCCCAAAAGTTCTTTTTATGGAATTCGGGAATACAGTTTTACATGAAATTGATGGGTTGATATTAATTAAGAAACCTCACAGATTGTTAATCCTCTGATTGTAAAAATTGTGTAAAAATGTGACACGAGCAGATTTCAGATGGCTAATAATACGGCTTTTGTTAATGTACCAATTTCCAAATCAAGTTACAAAGAGCTACACATAACATGAAAAAAGGCATTAAGGGCAAACAATGAATAACAAATTATAGCAAACTGATACAATACAATGAAAAAGATTAAAACCAGCAATAAAACCAATAAAAAGTCTAATATAATGAGTTGAGTTTCCTGATAATTCTGCAACTGAGGGACCTGAACAGAAAAGGCTGTGTCACCTTTACTTCCCAGTTTTATGGGAATGACCTACCAGAGGATGTCAAGTAGTGTTCAGGACACAGTTAAACCCTCGCAGGCCTTAGAGTTGATTCCATATTGCTGTAAGTGTGACCCTGCTGTTGCCTCCCCTGCTGTTTAGATCTTTGGTCTGGAGGCTCTGCTGGGTTCAGCTAAGCTGTGGCCCCTGCTGCTGGCTCTCACCGTGGTCCCTGCAGTGCTGCAGTGCATCCTGCTGCCTTTCTGCCCCGAGAGCCCCCGATTCCTGCTCATCAACCTGAAGCAGGAGGAGCAGGCTCGCAAAGGTACGCAATTTGATCTAATTGTGATTTTTCTGACAGCGATTGTGATTTGATTTGTGATATTGTTTTTTAAAACTTCAGTTCAATGTTTACTGTGTAAAAGATGTTAAAGGACATGAAGTATTACCACATGAAATACCATCTAACAACATGTCTTTGTATAACCAGTGACACACAGTTTAAACCCTGAGTCTGACATCCTGCATATTACTTGTCCTAAATTGCAGCCTTTAAGATTTACTCATTCAAATCACAAGTTCTATTTTCAATAAATGAATTTTGACTGCAATACTCCTGCAACTACACACAATATTGCGACTGTTACTACTTTATTATTATGATATGATTGTTGGTGCAGCTACTGTCAATACTCATCGTATTCATCTGCTGCATCTGCAGATAACACCATCACCAGTGTAAATACTACTTTAGCAACTACTGGAACTGCGTTACTATCACTACTACTAACCACAGCTACTGTTAAAACTACTGCTACTTCCACTGTTTCTTCAGAAATGCAGCTCCAGACATTTCTACTGCCTTCTGCATATCTACATTTTTTTTTTTTTAAATACCAAAATGACAGCCAGAAAATGTAAAAAAAAAAAAGTCAGGTCACACTTTAAATTTTCCAACTGTCCTTTAACTACTCATCTGCGACGTGCTGTTTGGTCGGAAAAATGTACCAAATCTAAGCTTCAAATCGTTGTGATGTTTTGTTAGAATCACTTTATTCTACAAGTCTCATTTAAAAATTCTAAAAAATCAAGTGTTTGCAACAGATCTTATAAAAAGCAATTCTACCCTTCTCAGTCCGTGACTGACTCAACTGTGACCAATTGACCAACAGTAACGTGACAAAAAAATTTCTGGTGAACCGCAGGCTGTGTTTAGAAGATATATAAACAAACAAGAGAGACTGTGTGGGGGCGCCCTCACTGTCCTAATTATTAAAGGCAAAAAGGCCAGAAAAAATCATTTAAAAAAGAAAAAAAGAGGGAGTGAGAGACTGTGTGGAACATAAAACGCACTGGATCAGACAAATCAACGCAGTATTGCTCAGAGATAGTATACAGAGGAGTAAGTTGTTGGAAGATATATTAAGCATGTGAAATATCTTTCTAGTTGATGTGCAGTATAGAGTGAAAAATGCAGAGTTAGTAGAGTTTGTAAAGAAATTAGTTAATAGTTAAATATCTGTTGTATGTAGAGCCACCAGTTTTGCAGTATAAGTAACACCAGTGAGCACTGCAAATAAAAAAGAGGAGGAAATGTGAGAAAAGATAGAAAAGCAGAGACATAAAGAGCAAAGTAGATATACAGCGGTGAGATCAGGTAAGTTAGGACGAAGCTTTAACCTGGCTAGAAGAGTCCTTGAACAGATTGCAGAAGTTTTGGCATCGGTTCAACACGCAGCCTGTCAGGGTCGACTCCAAGGCTTTGACCTACTTCTCCTTCACAGCTCTGATCTGACACAAACATAAACAAATGTGCGTTTCAGGATCCACAGTTGAAGCTCCTCTAGCTCAGATTTCTTGATAATGACAGTAAATTCTGAGCTGGTGCTGCAACAGAACAGTGTTACATGTGCTCAGGAGTTAAATGACATGCTTTTGTGCTTTTATAAACAAAGCTCTGTGCTTTCTTTTGCTTTTTTTTTCTACTTAACCACCAAAAAAAAGAACTTTTTCTTTACTGTTATGTTTGTGCACCAAACCAGAGTTGCTCCACCACTACAAAAGATAACTCGTCCTGTCTGTTTTCTGTTGACAGCTCTGGTGCGTCTGCGTGGCACTGAGGATGTGAGTAAAGACCTGCAGGAGATGAAGGAGGAGAGCGCCAAGATGGCCATGGAGAAGAAGGTGACTATTGCCGAGCTGTTCCGCTCAGCATCGTACCGTCAGCCCCTCCTCATCGCCGTCATGCTGCAGCTCTCCCAGCAGCTGTCTGGAATCAACGCTGTAAGTCAACAGCAGGCAGCATGCTCACACACACACACACACACACACCAAACACACACACATATATATATATATACACTTCTATACTCAAGTTCATTTTTGACCATTTTAGTCCAGGGGAGTTGTTGCCTTGACAACAGCTTGTTTTAAAAGTATCCAGAATATAATCAGCAGACGTCAGCTTTTACAATACAATACATAAACCAGACATGTTTTAAATTTAGCTGCTATCCTGTTAAAGTAGTCCCCTTATGCAGCGATATACTGCTTCCAGTGCTCCTGCCTCATTTGTAACAATCCCTTGAGGTACCTGCACCACTAGCAGGTGCACATTTTTGATTTCAAACATCAAATTATATGACAATCTTCATGTGGAGGATCATCACTGGTGATGAGATCTTTGACTCTGATCCAGAGACCAAACAGCAAACCTGAGTGGAAGAACCTGCACTTTCCAAGACTGAAGAAGGTCAAGAGAAGGAGCATGCTCATCATCTTCTTTGACATTCACCGGATTGTCCCCTGCATATTCATCCCCCAGAGTCAGACTATCATTACCGAGTTCTTCTGTAACATCCTGAGGTGTCTGAGGAAAAACACTGAGTGCAAATGACCTGAATTGTGACATTGTGAAGAAGTATGAGTGCTCACGGTGCATTAAAAACAGCTTTGACCACACCAACATAATCACTGCTTGGAGATTTGGCTAGATTTGGATCCCTGAGACTTCTTTCTCACCTGAAAAGGAAATTAAAATTAAAGGGTTGCCATTTTGACACAGTTTAGGAGATTCGTTACAGATGGTGCTTGATGCATTTACAAAACAAAACTTTCTGGGAGCGTTGCAAATGTGGCAGGAGCACTGGGAGCAGTGTACCGCTGCATAATGAGAATGCTTCATAGGAAAATAGCCAAATTTAAGTAAGGCATGATTTTTATTTTTAACACATGCAAACTCTTTTTGCAACTTACCGGAATAAAATCTCAGCTACTAGTATAGCATCCTTATTACACTGAATGCATAAATTACATCAATTCCAAAGTAATATAACACACATTTCATTCAAGGCAAATATAAAGGCTGCCCTGTAGCTCTTTGTCCAGGTAGGACACAAAGGAGGCAGAGTGCAGTTTGGTAGATTCAGGGTGATTAAATTTCTGCAGGTTTATAAAGCTGATTGTAGTGATAAAAACCCACGAATGCTAGTTTTTAACTGAAAGGTGTCTTCCGAGTCGCTTAACATCACTAGATAGCTATCGTAGAAATGATTAAAGCTATATTTCCTGGATGTTTGGGTTGATTTATACTGACACCAGCACAGCTTCTATCACCGATATAGCGCTGTGTTCTGTTTTATGAGAGCCGGAGGCAGTCAAGAAAATAACTTCTAAAATATGTATACAAATATTATTCTCAAATATTTAATATTAGAGCCCTCACTGTCTCTTCTCCATCCTCTCTGCATCTCTCAGGTGTTTTACTACTCCACCGGGATCTTTCACTCGGCCGGCGTCAAGCAGCCCATCTACGCCACCATCGGGGCCGGCATCGTCAACACCATCTTCACCATTGTTTCTGTGAGTGACAGCCACACGTTCCTTCCTGCATGTGTTGACGTCCAGTCAGCAGCACGTCACTCCCTCCTGTCTCTGTCCCGCAGCTCTTCCTGGTGGAGAAGGCGGGGCGAAGGACGCTGCACCTGCTGGGGTTGGGCGGGATGGCGGTCAGCGCTCTGCTCATGACCGTCTCCCTGCTGCTGGTGAGTTCAGCGACTCAACGGCCTGTTGTTGTTCTCTCCCCAACCCTAAAACTTTTTTTTTTTTTTAAACTAATTATATACACAAAAATACCAACAAACAACTTCCACCAAAGTCAATGTTGCCGCTATCCTTTAAAAAAGTTCTGTCATTCTCTGTTTCACTGTTTCAATAAATAACAAAGTTGCAAAACTGCATGAACTGATGCAAGCTGTAAACACAAAATCTGTCATGTAGCTGCTAAAAGATTCGTCATATTCACCAGCTAGGAGCTAACTTTGTCTACCTGTCATTTGGTGCTGGCAGGTGGTGTACAGTGAATTTTTTAGAGTTAGTTTGGTAAAAATATGGATGTGAGATTAAACCTCTGAAACAATTTCTGGGCAATTTTTGCTCCAGTAACCTTTTTATTCACTGTGCAACTCTTGCAGTTGTAATTAAAAATAAATAAAAAATAAAAAATCTGTCCTTTTAGCTGGCTGTAATTTTCCATTAAGTCTAGCCAAACAACAAAACACACATTGAGCCATTCTGCTATTTGCAGTACATAGCAGTTGTGTCTTGATGCCACCAGGTGTTGCTGGTTCATCTGGTAAGAAGGAAGCACAGTTTGTGAGTGTAATTTTTTGAAAAATGTATTGTTGTTTTCTCTGCTCGGTTAATTAACAAATTTAAAATAACAAATCATTACTTTAAAATAACAAAAAAGGATTAATTTACATACATGAATCCTAAAAGAAAAGGCCAAAACTGTAAAGAAAATCCAGAACAAACAATTTTTTTCTTACAAATAGTGATTTGTTCTTTTACAGCATGTGACTTTAAAATGACCCCATTTTTGTTCAATTAAATTAGCAAAAACATATTAAGATTTTATTGTTATCTGCTATATGTAAAAGAAAAAGTAAGTATATTAGGGTTCAAAAAAGGGACATTTTCTACTTTTTTAAAAAATGAGTTTCCCTGTTTTGTTAAATTCTAGATAATATTCAGTAAAATTGCTGAAAAAAATATTCATTTAACAAATAGGCCAAAACTGTAAATAACATCCACAACAAACACCTGTATTTTTACAAATAGTGATTTGTTCTTTTACAGCCCATTTTTATTCTTTTAAATTAGCTAAAGAAAAATAAATATTTTTTACTGTTATTTCCTATATTTAAAAGAAAAATAATGTATATTAGTGTTCAAAAAAGGACATTTTCTACTTTTGTTTTAATGAGTTTCCCTATTTTTTATTAAATTCTAGATAATATCCAGTAAAATAACAAAAAAATATGAATTTAAGATGTTAATAATTTTTTTATGGTGCACGAAGGATTATGTTTAAACCACCAGACACTGATGAATACATTTAAATCCTGCCCGTCAGTCAGGTGAATGTGCGGCACAAGTCACTGTGTGGTGTTTTTCTCTGTCTCTCTCGTCTGAGCAGAAGCACGTCCCTGCTATGAGCTACGTGGCCATCCTGGCTGTCATGTTGTTTGTGGCTATGTTCGAGTTGGGCCCTGGTCCAATCCCGTGGTTCATTGTGGCTGAGCTGTTCTCCCAGGGGCCCCGCCCGGCCGCCATGGCTGTAGCCGGCTGCTGCAATTGGACAGCCAACTTCCTGGTTGGAATGAGCTTCCCCAAACTAGAGGTGAGGGAGGAGTGATGGGGCTGGTTTGGACTTTTCCTCTTATCTTTTTTTCAAGTTGTTTTTTTTTTTTTTAAACTCTAATTTGTTGTTCTGCTGGGTTTTAGTTAGAGTTTACCTTTTGTGACGTTTTTAATGCAAAATCTTTCAAATAGATCCCATTAGACTGATCATTTTTCATTTTGAAAGATTCTGCAACAACTAGCAACTTGTAACTAGCAGCTACAAGTCATGCTGAATTTATTAGTGGTTAAAGCTGTAATCCAGAAATGTGTCATCATTTAGTTGGAGTCTGGCCACCTTTGGTTACAACCACTCATTGCTTTAGTGTAAGGAGGTTATTTTTTATTTTAAAAAGTTTTGGAAACTGATAAAATGGCGACAATAGCTCATGAATTTTAAGATGAATGACTGGGCCTGCAAACAAACATATTTTTACCACACTGTTTTACACATGTAGACTCCAGTAGGGTAGAGTGCAATGTCCATTTTTTTGGTTAAAGGGAAAGTTATTATAGCATGTGAATATGAGCTGACAAACCTGAGGGCTTTTTAGAAAATGCCAACTTTAATTTGTTACTTGTGTAACCTCAGATGTGATTGTTTGAATTTTGACTACAGGTCATGCTACATTTATTTGTTAAGCTATTAAAGCTGTAATAGACAAGTTTATGTTTATTTTGTAGAAATTTGGTGCCACCTTTGGTCAAAACCACTAATTGCTGTAGTGTAGGGAAGTCATTTTCTATTGAAAGGCTGATAAAATCCTTACTAGAACTTATAAATTGTAGGATTAATGACCACGGCCTGCAAACGAAACCATTTCTACCACACTGTTTTCACATGTAGAATGTACGAGGGTAGCGAAAATGACTATTTTTTTGGTAGAAGGGGAAATTATTGTAGTATTTACTAGCATAGAAAGTGATTTATCTATAAATCACATAGTTATATCGCAAATTCAGAGTTTTAGTGCTTTCCAGAAGTATGAAAAGTGAGTTTAAAGTGAGCTTTGCCCAGCAGTGGTGCAAACTCTTTACATTACTTCCATTAAATTGCTACTTTCTCATTTTGAAAGATTACATTTTTTCTCCTCTCTCTCTCCTCAGGACTTGTGCGGGGCCTGGGTCTTCCTCATCTTCACCGGCTTCCTCCTCCTCTTCTTCATCTTCACTTTCATCAAAGTGCCAGAAACGAAAGGGAAGACCTTCGATGAGATCGCCCGCAGCTTTGGCAGCAGCCCGCCTGCTGCCTCCTCGTCCTGCGACGACCCTCCCGCCACCGCCAGCACCGCTGTGACGCTTCCCGCCTCACCGGTGAAAGAGAAGGTGCCACTGGTGGAGGCTCCACCGCCAACAGCAGCAGCAGCAGCAGCAGCAGCAGCAGCAGCTAAACCTGCTGCAAGCGAAACCACACCTCTGGAACAAAAGGCCAGCAGCACTGGCGAGCGCGTAGAGAAGGTGTAGATGAAGTTTTAGAGAGTGAGGGAGGTTATAAATGAAGGAAGAACCACAGAGATTTGAAAACACGGTAAATTCTCACCAACTTGGAGAAATGAGTTAATTTTGCATACAAGAGAATAGAAGCATCATCCGTTTGTAGGGTTTTGCCTTTAAAAGGTCAAGCTTACTGCTCTTCATGATCTTATTTTTTAGTGAAAACACCTACGACTCCTTCCTTTAAACCCTCTCTTCATTTAAACCTTAAATCTACTCTACATTCCTCGGAATTCAGCCGCGCTCATCAGAAGGGTGAGTCGCTTTCAACACAAGCTGTGCGACTCATCAGGAAGGCACACTTCTCGAAAACAGGTGTCCGGTTAAAATGCAGGTGAAAAGTTGGCTATTGCAGAGATGGTGCTTTTTTATGAAAGTGTACAGGCGTCTCCATAAAACTTTCTTCCGGCGAGCGGGGTGACACGGACGGTGATGATCCGCGTTTTTAATTCACACATTCCTGATTTAAAGGCATCGTAGTGGATATTGTAGTGCAACTTTGTAGCTGTAGTTTGTATTTTATTCTTTGCTGTTTTTCACGTGTTCTCATCACAGATAATAATAAGGTATGGTTTTTTTAAATTCATGCTCTGCCTTCAGCTGGTGAATATGAGCTGACAAACCTGAGAGCTTTTTAGAAAATGCCAAAGTCCTGAACTTTAATTCGCAACTTGTGTAACCTCAGATGCGGTTGTTAAATTTCAGCTACAGGTCATGCTAAATTTATTAGTTAAAGCTGTAATGAGAAGTTTATGTTTAATTAGTTGGAGTTTGGCGCCACCTTTGGTCAAAACCCCTCATTGCTATAATGTAGGGAGGTTATTTTCTATTGAAAAGTACTGGAGACTGGTAAAATCCTGACTATAGCTTATAAATTTTAGGATTAATGACCATGACCTGTAAACGAAACCATTTCTACCACACTGTTTTACACATGTAGAATCTACTAGGGTAGCGTGCAATGTCTATTTTTTTGGTAGAAGGGAAAATTATTATAGTATTTATTACATTAGAAATTGATTTTTCTATAAAGTATATAGTTAAAAAGCAAATTCAGACTTTTAGTGCTTTCCAGAAGTATGAAAAGTGAGTTTAAAGTGAGCTTTGCCCAGCAGTGGTGCACCTGCATCACTCGAAGTGCAGCTCAGAGATTTACACGATATTTATAAGCACCTTGGTAACCAGACAAGCAGCATTAGAGCCACAGTCAGTAGACGTCATCGAGCAGAGCAGCGCTTTGTGCCCAACTAGCAGACTGCTAATAATCCAAACTGTATTTACCTGAGATTATATCTGGCAAAGCTGTTATTAGAGTAAGAGTTGTATAAAACGTGCAATCAACGTAGAATCTTCAGCTTAAAACTCGGTAGGAGCTGATCGTGGGTCGAGGCAATTACAGGGGGAAGTGCTAATACTGTGCAAACAACGGGTACGACTAGTCTCTTGAGGGTCATCGAAGTAGAATATTATATTTTGCATTTTCACAAAGGGAGAAATCGCTACTTAAAATCTGAGAAAATCGTCGATGTACTGTGAGTTTTGTGTTAAATCAAAACCGAGTGTCCTTTGAATGTGTATGTGTACTGTGCTTTTATTTTGAAATGAAATGAAGTTGTGGTGTTTTAAGTATAGAGAGTTAATTTAGATGTTTGGATAATAGTTATGTGAGAAGGACTGACTGAGCTTTTAGTTCTACAAACAATATTTGAGAAACATTAAGAACTTTTGTGTTGATCATGCGATGAAATTGTTATTTGTCTTTTACAGTCAGCAGGCACATAATGTAGTTTTCTCTTATTTCTGTTGAGTCACTCGGGGGAACTTTCAGAAAATGGGCTCTGTATAACCTTGAGAGATTTAGTTCTTCCTAAGAAACTGGCTAAGAAACAGCTAAACCCACAATCTTCCTTTAAAATTTTAATATTTTTCTCATTAAAATGCTAATTTGTCCCAATTATGTTTCATCGTGATCCAATATGACGAATGTTTCCAGATGTTTTAAAAATCCTTTTAAGCCCAAATGCACTGACACATCATTGTATGAATAGCATATGTTTATTTTTACATAACACCTATAGTTCCTTAAATCAATCCTGTTAATTTCATGCACTACTTCGAAAAAATGAAATCTAAAATCGTGCTATTTAGTTTGACAGCACCTTTTAGCAAACTTTATGTTCCAATGTGAGTTTAGATAATAATGAAATTAAAATTGTCTGTAGGAACTCAAAGTCAGGCAGCGTTCGGTGTGTATCTGGCTTCATTCGTTGGGTCTGTAAAGTCAGCCTTGTGTAGCGTTGTCGAGCACCACAGGTTCGTGTATCCAAACACTGTACAGAATGTGTGTGGTGTATACATGTACGACACAAAGTATATTTTCTATATTCTGTCGTGACTGCCTGGATTGCTGTAGTTTCTTGAAAAAAAAAAAAAAAAGCTACTTTCTTTTCACCCATGCTGCACATTGAGAACATATTTATTTCTGTATTTTTCTGTGTTATTTTCGGAAAAATATTTATCTTGACAAGTCACTTTTACTGAAAGATTTTAGATTCAAGTGTGAAAATCTGTCACTTTGCTGACGTTTATGGTGTGATGAGCAGAGGCTTGTTAAGACGAATGTTTCTCACAGTGAGGGGATCGACTATGGAGTGGTGGCTGTGTTGTGTATTGCTGTGTTTGTGGATGATAGTGCTGTATTGTGTTTTGCACTGAGGGAGGTTTGCTCCTCTCTGGTTCGTTTAGTGTCGTTTTCAGTCTCTCCTGTAAAGGTCCAGCTTCTGTCTGTGACTTCACTGCTCCTTCATGTATGGCACTAACACTGACCTTTAGCAAACCTGAGTCTGATATGGATTTCAAATGCTTTTTGCCTTTTGTGATGTCACAGTTTCAAATACCTCCACGATTCGTGCTATTCTTTTTCTCTGAGGTGACTTGAAACAAACACAGGATTTGATTTCGGTGTTCCACATCCAAAAGCAAGTTACAACATTCAGTGCAGTTGCAGCTTTTTTTTCTCTGGTTCAAACGAGAGCTGCACATTATATCATTTCAACTTTAACATTACAAAGAAGTGCAATGTGAAGTGAGGCAAATTAACTCAAATGCATCATACTAAAGCTATTTTTGCTGCTTGACACAATAAGAAAATTGCACTTTCCTCAATTTCTATCACTCGTCTACAAGAGAAGTAATAGAACATAATTTACTCTGATTCAAGTGTTTTTGGACCTTATTTAAAGATACATAGTTTGTTGACATGCACGCTCAATGTGTGCACAGCCAAATGAGCGAGAAACAGGGGAGAGAATATGAAAAGGAAGACTTTGTTGCCAAAAAAGAACTGCAACGTCACTTGTTTGGTCATTTAAAGTGGCACCACAAAGTTCTGTATCATCAATGCAAGTGCCAGATCTGAATGCCATCCAAAGTCATGTGTTTCGCTGACTTCTTTCTGCTTTTTTAGTGTTGTTTTTGATTTTCTATGCAGATGCATTCCCCTACAGGATCATCTTACAATCATTAATTCTTTCCAAATAGAGTTATTCAAGTCATCTGCTAAAAATTCCTGTGTTTTTTTCATTTTGTAGTATCTATATGGCACAAAAACACAACATCACAGTGCCACTTTTTCTCAAAAATTGTGCAGCTCCAGTTTAAACCGTTGTGGAAAAGCAAATGTTAGTAAAACTGCCCATTTACAAGTGAGTCAGGGACTGCCAGTAAAACCTTGTTTGCACTTTGGACAAGAGTTCAGGCTTTGGATGTGAGCTAAAAGACGTCGGCATGACTGCAGCGCATCACAAAAGTATGTGAAAGGCTTTAAAAACAAATATATGGACCCAGGCGCACACTGCTCCTAACCATAGTCAGCTACTTTATGCACACATATGAACTCAAAACCCTCCACTTACTGTACAAAGATATAGGAGAGTTCTAAGTATTAACTTGTAAATATGTATTTTTTAAAAAGAGTACTATTTATATGTTGACTTTCACGGACACACACGTGTTTTTTTTGTTGTTGTTGTTTTTTGGGGTGCACATTGTGGTGCGACTGACACTGTTGTTCATCTTCCTTCCTCTCGGTCGCTGTTTTTATCCGTGTGCCTCGTCAGGGTTGCACTCTGTTGAGTTCTGGTCGCGGCGTTCAGAAAAATTGGCTGTGATGACATCGCCGTGGCAACTGCTGCCATTGGTTACTACCGAGTCGTGTTACCTAGCAACAGTCAAGGAGTAACTTCCAGACTGGTACATTTTTACTGACAAATTTTGACCCGACAGCAGCTGAGATTTTCATCATGAAATAAAGATTTTGGTGACAATGCTGCTGTCGTTTTAACTTTAAGGTTTCACTGTAAAATGTCCAAACTGTACTGAATCAGCAGCTTTGGAGCTAATTATGAAATGTCACATGTTTGAATCTAATAATGATAATGCGTTTCGGCTGCTGTAGTTTGTTCTGTGTGTGTTTCTGTTAGCTCCTGACTTGTGTGTTACTGCTGTGTTAGCAGACGCTGGAGCATCATGTACTGTAAGTCGGCTATTTGTGCCTCACACATGTTCAGACTGTTAATCAGTGTGTGTGTTTGTGAGAAAGCCTCCCTTTGCTTCTCTATGTGTGATGTGTCAGAAATCACCCATCAGGAAATGTATCCTAAAGTAACATAAACCAGTGCAGAACTTTTCAGGGCTTCACAGTGCATTCATCTGCAGTTTGTGTGCTTGAGTTTAAGTGAATTATTGTGACTGCGTTGCAGCGACTGGAGTGATTTTGTCACACAACGGCCACCGTCTGTATGTTTTTCTGTTTCAGTGACAGCAGAAAAAAAAAGCCTAAATCAAGATCTTCTGAGGGGTTTAATTGCACCGTTAATCAGTTTATTAACAAACTGAGGAGGCAATTCAGTGGGAATATCTGAGATTTTTAACATTTCTCTGTGCCACAGCAGTGATGCACCCCAGCTGTTTTTCTTTGTACTGTACATACCAGATATAATGTTGTTAAATAAAATATTCATCATGTAACTAAAATCAGTGTGAATATGTTTCCCTCACCCCATGTTTATGTGAATTTAGGCCACATTTGATAGATTGGTTGACATCTGACAGTGACAGTGATTCCTGATGAGGATTAACTATCACCATAGCAACATTATGTCAATTTTTGATTAAAAAAAAAAAATCTTTAAAGGTGAATGCCGCTGATTTTACGAATCAATATCAATTTATCAATCATAAGAAAAGTGTTAAAAAAAATGTTTTCTGTGTCTGTGGAGTCCTAAATAACAAACAAATGCATTCTTTTACAGAAAGCATGTTTTACAAACTGGAGGAACTGAGTTTAAAAGATGATGCAAAGCATTATGGGAAATGTAGGCTCCAGCTTGTGGGATTACAAGTTAAACTATTTCTTGTGTCTTTTTTAAAAATATCACAAATTCACTAAAGCGTAATACAGAATTTCTGAAGTGATGGGCAAAACAAAATCTAAATAATTTATTTAAAAAAACAAAATATCTTTACCATACAATACAATACAATATAACACCATTAAAATGATTAATTTTAAAGTCAATGATGGACTTGATTTGTTGTATCTATTGTCTCATTTTAGGATGAAATTTTTGCTCTTTGAATCTTGACAATATTTCCCGACAACTGGAAAGTCTGTCGCCACTTTAGCCACCAGATGAAATGGGAAAACTCTGAAGACAGTCTTTGTCCAATCTAGAATTATGGCTTTATATTTTGACATGTTTTACTCTCTAAAAATGTCAAAATTTTCTTGAAAAACCAAATACCAAACAGTGATATCATGTACTGTATAAAGCTCCCTCATGTTAATAACAATAATGAGAAGAAGAAGAAGAAGAATTAGGTCTACTCTAATTCACTGTAATTTTTAAAAAATTAGTCCCATAATTTGCTATTGTACAAATAATATTATAGAGATTTAACTGTAATATTTAAACTTGTTAGGTCCATTTGTAACTTAATCTAATTTCTTCATTGAAAACACTTTGGCTCAGTGCCCTGTTTTTTTTTTTTTTTTTATTGCCGACAACTACGAACAACTAATACTTTTTACACAAATGTAATACTTTAGACAGTATTAATTGCTTATTGTTTTTTATTTTATTTTATTTTATTTACTAGAAACCTGGTTGAAATTGTAGACTTAAACATAAAGTCCGCTCTCGTGGTGTATTAGCATGCATCTTTTAAAAATGACACTTTAAAAGGATCAATATATGAGTCTATATCAACCTTTAGATTACATTCATCTTTATTTATTGAACATTTTTTTTCAAAACCCAAATTACGAAGTGCTTCACAAAACAGCAAAATACAACTGGCATGTCATCAAACGTTTTGAGAAACTGATAAAATTTTAAAAAAATTAATATAAAGAACCTATATAATCATGAAAGCTTCTCAGATCAAATTATACTTTCAAGAGGAGACCTAAAACATATCGAGAGCAGATGTAAAGAGGGTTACACATAGAAGACAGCGGGAAGAGGAGGAAATGTACTGGGAGCTAATGTAAAGAAGCGGAAACTTACTGGGAACCAGCATAAATATGGAGATGTATTGGTAGCCAACATAAAAAGGATTAAACATACCAGCGTGAAGAAGCTGGAACATGTTTGAAACCAGCAGAAAGAGGCTGAAATCTACTGTGACCCTCTCTGAAAAGAGGATGAAGCATGCTGGGAAAGTCATGGACAAAATGAGTAGACCACCGTTGTTGTCTTCAATTTCTTGTTCATTTTAATGTCTGGTACAACTAAAGGTACATTTATTTG